TCTCATGCTGTCGGCCATCTTGCCAAGGACGATCTTACTCATTGCCCACATCATCATCATGTTGTGTATTTTTGCGGCAGAGTTGGCGATAGCCGGTGCAATCGTCCTCAGCAGATGGAACAAACGCGGCACACCAGATAAACGCAGCAAACAACATATTCGCCTGATTGAGAGCGAAGTATCTGATTGAGAGCGAGAGCCAAAAAAATTGAAATTTCGGGTCCAGACGCCTCTTGCCATTTCTTGGCAAGTAGGGGACGGGCTATTCCAAGAAGCGGNCGGGTCACCACGGGCGATTTTGGAAACGAAATTCCTCTGGAACTCCTCTGTTCCTACTGGGATCCCGACAACTGGCATGCCACCTTCAGCAACTGACAGACCAATTTTCGTCAATTGTTGCTGTTCGTCGTTTGTCAAAGAGGACATGCAAAGACCTTCCGGGAAAAGCACTTTGGATTTCGGGAGACTGAGCTCAATGCCTTTTTGGGAGAGACGTTCCTGAATCCAATTCGTTACAGTGGATATGGCCTGCATGTTCCTAGCCAAACCTGGTGGAAGATGTGCTTGGAGGTCGTCGACGTATCCGATGAGTTTCACTCCTGGCACTGGTGGCTTGTTGTTGAACTCTTTCATGATATTAAGGAGTCCTACACAGAAGCCGAACCCTCCCAAGTTANCCTTCCGGGAAAAGCACTTTGGATTTCGGGAGACTGAGCTCAATGCCTTTTTGGGAGAGACGTTCCTGAATCCAATTCGTTACAGTGGATATGGCCTGCATGTTCCTAGCCAAACCTGGTGGAAGATGTGCTTGGAGGTCGTCGACGTATCCGATGAGTTTCACTCCTGGCACTGGTGGCTTGTTGTTGAACTCTTTCATGATATCAAGAAGTCCTACACAGAAGCCAAACCCTCCCAAATTGCAGCCTTGTTGAACTCCGCGCTGTGAAAGAACAACCTCGATCGAACCATCTTCCATTTTGAACAGAAGTTTCGCCTTGGTTCGAGCGTAGATGTTCCCGAAGTACTTCACCAAGTGTGGCGTATGAGTGGCCGCTGCTGGCAATATGGAAGATCTCCGCATGCTGTTGTAAGCGCTTTTCCCATCAAAGGAGAGAATGGTGCTGCCTTGCTGGTGGCTGAGGGCTGCTGTGGAAGCCACTATCTCAACTCCTCCTGGAACACCACCTCCGAACTGATTTGCTGCTTCGAAGATGTTCGCAATTCCTCCCTTGTACTGGCGGCAGAAGCTGCCGCTGATGATGCGACGCAAAACCCCTCCAACTGCAATCGGCCGTTTTTTCTCTCCCAGCGCTGAAAGGTTGGCACTGGTGTGGAGGTTCCAAAAGAAATCCGGAAGCTCGTCTCCGTAGTAGAAGACTTGAAAGCTGAAGTCCGCCAGGGTTTCAGGAAAAGAATCACTCATCCAACCAGCTTGGAGATACAAAAAACGGAGACCATGAGGCCCCGGAGAACTCTGAGGGTTGGCTTTCTTCACCGTCTGCTTGATGAACTTGATTTCGAATGGTTCATCAGCTTCGG